ACTCACAAGACCTCCTACCACCAATAAATAATAAATGTCACTTCAATTACAGATGGTATAAGCGACAGTGCGATAGTTAAAAACCTTTTTAATTTATAATTGAAAATAATTCGTAGAAAATACAATTAAAATACAAATACAAAACTAGATTACAAAAATTAGATTAAAAATATAATATGTTGATAGACCTTTACATTTCATTAGATTAAATTGGCTTAATTTAGTTGGGAAATAATCCAATCCAAATTTTTCCTAGACACAGTTGATAATTAAAAAAGACCACCTAATTCATGGCTTACAATTAAATCGGTACAACCGGAAGCTCTTCTCTGCTTTATGTATACACTTCTCTTTGTCTCAGAAAAGTAAGTGTATATATTTTAAACACGCCAGAGTGGATATCCCAGTCGTTATCCACGTTAGGATCTTTTATGACCTTCGACCTGTATTATTTTATTTTAAAATCCCCTTTATCGCCAGCTTTAAGCTTTGAAACGGCTATTCGCTTATATTGTTATGGCTCAGCACTAGCTGCTTACGTCTTACTCCTGTTAAGATTCCTTAAGTGACTTAACAGTGTCTCAGTCAGTGTCTTGTTTTATTAATAACTAGTGGCCCGCTCCGGCTCCGCTTGGGTCTTTAACAAAAATTTCAACGATATTTGACGTTGTTTTTTTTTATAAAAGAACACTTCTTGCGGCATAACTATAATAGTTAGACATAAAATATGCTAACACGACACATTTTGCAAATAATAATGTGTTCTACAAAGTCGTAGTACATATTTTATTCTGTCATAAATAGTTTTCGCAGGGCACGCTATGTAAAGAATATTTTAGGTAATTTTTTTACACTTTGGGTTATATTATTGGAGGTTTAGTAAGGATCCCTAATTTTTTTCAAAAAAGATTATAGCCTATGTCACTCGGGAATACTGTAGCTTCCAAACAGTGAAAGAATTTTTCAAATCGGTTCAGTAGTTTCGGAGCCTATTCAATACAAACAAACAAACAAACAAATCTTTCCTCTTTATAATATTATTAGTATAGATGAACTAGACAATGCTCGGTATTTTTCCTTTTTTTTTTGATACATTGTGTTTTTTAGAAATTATATTTAAATACGAATTACATATTGATAAAATGATGAAATATTCCAAGATCGTTTAGGCATTTTTAAGTGAACACGTGAGTTAAAAAGACAGAAATAATATAAATAAACAATTCATTTTCTTGGTCTAACCTTAAACCAAACACTCATTGGCTTCGGGTGGCTTAACAACGCCATCTGCTCAAATAGCATTAGTGTTATTGTGTCTTTAAAGCAGTTAGTTGCTCTCAATTATGAAAAATAGTATTATTATTCGCCAATAGATGTCGGGAAGAGTCTTAAATTGATTATCGATAAAGTTAATTATTAAAAAAAAACCGTAAAAAAACCACATTTTCTGAAAATAAATCGTAGCTAGATCGATTTATCGCCCCCGAAAACCCTCTTTATACTAAATTTTATGAAAATCTTTGGAGCCGTTTCCGAGATTCAGATTATATATATATACAAGAATTGCTTGTTTAAAGGTATAAGATAATATAAGATAAGATACGGTTTCAAAAACTGGGGGTAAAACACTTTTTAAATCTAATAATATATGAGCACACGCAGCGGCTTGACTATGTCCTTGACATTTCTGAAGTCCATGTGCGATGCTAACTCACTATCAGGTAGACCATACGTTCATCTACATACGGCGACAAAAAATGCTATAGCAAAAACCTGCTTACCATGGCGTTGAAAGCTGTGATATTTTCAAAAACCCAGATTAAATAACACGTAAATTATTTTTTTATTTTTATTTTTTCATTGCTTTGGTGGATGGAAGAGCTCACAGCCCACCTAGTGTTAAGTGGTTACTGGAGCCCATAGACATCTACAACGTAAATGCGCCACCCACCTTGAGATATAAGTTCTAAGATCTCAGTATAGTTACAACGGCTGCCCTACCCTTATGACCGAAACGCATTACTACTTCACGGCAGAAATAGGCAGGGCGGTGGTACCTACCCGCGCGGACTCACAAGAGGTCCTACCACCAGTAAAATCGTTGATATTCATCTCTGATACTCAGGTCTAGGACTTGTAAAACAGTAAGAGGGTAAGTTAATCTTCAGTCGATTTTACAAATGCCTTTTCGAAGGATAAGATACCCGGTGCATTCGTATCGAGCAATGAGACAGTGCCGGTGTTCAAATCTTACTGGTACCAACCTATCTAATAAAATAAGTATTTAGCATATATTGACGAATGACTTTCATGGTGAAGGAATAACGTTGCGTAATAAAAATCAAACCCGCAAAAAAAATATAATTTGCGTAATTATTGGTTTTAGGACGTCTTGTGAGCTCGCACGAGTTGGTACTATCATATATATTTCTGCTGTGAAACAGTAATGCGTTTCGTTTTAAAGGATGCGGCAGTTGTTATACTACATATAAAACTAACACTTAGAACTCATATCTCAAATTGAGTGGCGGCATGTTATCGTCTATAAGCTCCGGTAACCCCTTAACACTAAGTGAGCCGTGAGATTATTTATCAATTTAATTTTTATAGCTCTTATAGGCAGCATGACATAAGGCCTACCTGACGGTGAGCTATTACCATCGCCCGTAGACGACAGTGATGCCAGGAGCAAAACCAAGCGACTGTGTACCAACCGGTCATCGTTCTCGTCGAACCCGTCGCTCGCGGCGAAGGGCTCGGCGAGTAAATTAACCCACAGACACAGCCCACTGAGTTTCTCGCCGGATCTTCTCAGTGGGTCGCGTTTCCGATCCGGTGGTAGATTCTGCGAAGCACGGCTCTTGCTAGGGTTCGTGTTAGCAGCATCGTCAGGTTTGAGCCCCGTGAGCTCACCTACTAGTTAAGGTTACGCTGATATGGTCTCTCTAGACCATCAGCTTAGGTAGGAAAAAAGAAAAAAAAAGTTTTTTTTTATTGCTTAGATGGGTGGACGAGCTCGCAGCCCACCTGGTGTTAAGTGGTTACTGGAGCCCATAGACATCTACGACGTAAATGCGCCACCCACCTTGAGATATAAGTTCTACGGTCTCAAGTATAGTTACAACGGCTGCCCTACCCTTCAAACCGGAACGCGTTATTGCTTCACGGCAGAAATAGGCAGGGTGATGGTACCTACCCGCGCGGACTCACAAGAGATCCTACCACCATTAATTACGCAATATACTTATTTTACCAATATCCTTATTTTACTTTGTTAAAGTCGGTATTTGTTTTTTGTTAAATTATTATTAACTTTAAAATATAAATATTACAACATCAATGAATTTATCTTTGGTACTATAAAGCTTCTTAACGTAGGCCCGGAGTTCATTATCCGGCGCCTCGGTAATAAATAAGCACCATCCTTTATTTTCACACATCGCTTAACTCCGTACGTAAATGGTCCGGATTTTATGACTCTCTTACTGTCTCTACAGTTCGGAAGAGAGACTGTCTGTTTTAAATTACATATTTTCGAAGATTTACTCTAAGAGATTTACAAAAGTTAAAAGCTAAAGCTAAATGTGAAAGGTAATGTAAAGCTTAGCACTTTTATTTTTAAACTACCGTCAATTATTGGAACGAAGTTCCTTATCGCGCGTTGTGAAAGGGGGCTAGACGGAAAAAATTCTTACGAAAAGTTGTCACGACACTTTTTAGATCCGTCATTCTGACCAATCAACGTGTAAGCTCTTATCGCGTGACATTGCTCGTATCCGATTGGTCCGCGTAATGAGTACAGTTTCTCGAGATAGGGTTTCAACAATAGTAATTTAGTTCATAGTATTGTTTTTTTCTTCTTCATAATGCCGTAATTTATTATTATAACTTTAAAAAAAAATTACAATTCCTTCACTAATTAATCGAAAAGAACTTCGTTCCATCCGGGTGTCCCTTGACACCTCTGAAGTTTAATGTATTTTGCTTAGACTGATGAACCAGTTGGTGTTAAGTGCTTGTATGTGGTTCCAGGAGCCCGTAGACATTAGCAGCGTAAATGCCGCTTTCAGTCTTAAGGTATGAGTTCAACGGCTTCCTCAACCTTCATACCGGAACGCGAATTGTTACGCGGCAGAAATAGGCTCGTGGTAGGCAGCGGCTTGGCTCTGCCCCTGGCATTGCTGAAGTCCATGGGCGACGGTAACCACTCACCATCAGGTGGGCCATATGCTCGACAAAGCCAATAAAAAAAAATTGATTTGTAGCAAAGTTTGTAGGTTATATAATAATATTATCACCTATCGACTTATATATCATACTTGCGTATCATGTTATGATAAATGTAAATTGATATTATAACTAGTATGTAATTATTTTATCTTGTAATGTATATTGTATAAATAAAACACGAAATTAAGTAATAAATAATAATAAATAAATATTTACTAACAATTACGCCACGTTAACTGGTCCCGTGATAAGTTCGTAAAGAACTTGTGTTACAGGTACCAGATAACGGAAATAAATGTAAGATTTTTATTATACACATACATATATTTAATATACATCCATAACCCTGGAAAAGACATTTATATTTATCATACAAATATCTTCCCTTGGCGGGATTCGAACCCGCGACCCCGTTATGTAGTGACCATGTCACTTACCACTACACCAGACGGCCGTTTAAAGCAATACATTGTCTTATACGAATAATTGAATAATTAATTAATATAATCGAGAAATTCCCCTAAAGTTACAACGTTTCAGTCTCTTGGCAGCTTCAGTCTTTGAATTTGACAGATCGTCAATTGTCAAATTTAGCGACATATTACGAGTTATTGTTACACTTAATTTGGTATTATTAACACACACACACTTTCGGTTATTAGTTTCTAGAACAATATCCTCACAATATCCTGACAATAAATACAGATTTATATTGCAGATAGACTGCAGGCGTTCGATGATCACTAATAAGATTAAAATTTATGTTCCAGAACCCTGATATAGTGTTGGTTCATTACCTGAACGTGCCCTATCCTGATGACAACAAGCTGGCCGCAGTCGCACCCAGTTTGGCGCTCTGGGCTGACAAGAAAGAGTGGACGAAAGATGAACTGGTCAGCCAACTCAAGCCAATGTGTGAGTTATTTATTAGCGTATATATAAATAAATCATTGTAAATTTCGACGTCGTCGTGGCCTAAAGGATAAGACGACCGGTGCATTCGTATCTAGCGATGCAACGAAGTTCGAATCTCAGGCGGGTACCAATTTTTCTAATGAAATACGTACTCAACAAATGTTCATGATTGACTTCCACGGTAAAGGAATAACATCGTGTAATAAAAATGAAACCCGCAAAATTATAATTTGCGTAATTACTGGTGGTAGGATCTCTTGTGAGTCCGCGCGGGTAGGTGCCACCACCCTGCCTATTTCTGCCGTGAAGCAGTAATGCGTTTCGGTTTGAAGGGCGGGGCAGCCGTTGTAACTATACTTGAGACCTTAGAACTGATATCTCAAGGTGGGTGGCGGCATTTACATTGCAGATTTCTATGGGCTCCAGTAACAAATTAACACCAGGTGGGCTGTGAACTCGTCCACGCATCTATTCATTAAAAAAAATACTCAAGATTATACAGGAGTTACTTGATAAAAGCAAATATTATCCGAAAATCATTCGTTTATTCTTAAAAGAACTTCGCTAAAAACATCCTGAGTTTAATTTTCAAAGGAATTATTAAAGTACGTCCGTCAAAAGCACAACGTTGCTACGATTACAAAGTCTAAGCTCGAAAGCGTTTCGCGGGCTTTCCTTCAGTTCCTCCCCCAAGTTTATTTATACGCTCCGAAACGGACACCTTTGAATAAAATTATAACATTTACTGAATGAAATAAACGACTCGAAGTCGGCTTCGTGCTTAAATTTGAATATATTGACAGAGGGCGTGGTACCTTTGCCGTGTTTTTCATTAAACTTTTATGGTACGAATATATTCCGTTTCACTGTAATATGTCTGGTAAAAGACGGTCTTAAAGATTTAAATATGTTTTTTTTATCGCTTAGATGGGTGGACGAGCTCACAGCCCACCTGATTTTAAGTGGTTACTGGAGCCCATAGACATCCACAGCGTACATGCGCCACCCACCTTGAGATATAAGTTCTAAGGTCTCAAGTTTAGTTACAACGGTTGCCCCACCCTTAAAACCGAAACTCATTACTGCTTCACGGCAGAAATAGGAAGGGTGGTGGTGCCCACCCACGCGGACTCAAAAGAGGTCCTACCACCAGTAAACATGGAAAAACAGTGAACATGGAAAACTTCAAAGTATACCTGACAGCGTACGCTTTGTCTCTGTCGCCGTTAGATTGTTTATATTTCTTTATTATTTCGTAAAATATTTGATATGTCGACATATAAAACAGCTTAGTCGTCCGTGACCACGAAAACTGTAAAGTAATCGAAACATTGGAAATATAAGTGTGATGTTAATAAAAAAACGAATTTAAGCCGTAAAAGCAGTATTATTGTAATTAAAAATAATAATAGCTGGGAAAAAATTACGCACGGTCACCCGGCCCTAAATTAGGATACCCTGTGTTATGGGTACCACAAATTTACATACGTATATTATATAACACCCAGATCAAGAGCAAACAATCTTGTTCATATGAATGTTTGCCCGATGTGGGAATCGAACCCACGACCCCCAGCGTAACACTCAGGGGCGTCAGTCAACAGTCATAACTACTGCATCACTGAGTCAGTCAAGAATGTTTGCCCGATGTGGGAATCGAACCCACGACCCCCAGCGTAACACTCAGGGGCGTCAGTCAACAGTCATAACTACTGCATCACTGAGTCAGTCAAATTACACAGAAAAAAAACCCTTTGTTAGTTTTATTTTATCTAAGAGATAATTATATAAGAGATCTGAATTGAGTTTCTGATATTTATTTTAAGTGACATTTGTAATTTAAATTGTTTTTATTCGATTAAATGTAATATTGTAATTAATTGATTGCAAAAGAAGTTTTATATTGCATATTAAGAGAAGGAGCAGCCTGCTATTAGGTGGTTACCAGACACATAGATTAAAGTCATCACCCATCTAGAGACTTGAAATTTTTACGTGTTTGATTTTATCACAGGATGTTATCACTGCATCCTAGAAGTCACTCTAAACCATATTTCATTTGAAAAATCGAAACGATTAATTGGATTAATTGAAACCTCTATTATTTAATTGTTGCTTACTTTTTGAAAGAAATCGAATTTTGTTATATTTAAGTGTCGGAGATCGATTCTTCACTTCAATTGATCGGTTTCAAATTGCCATACCTTGTACGATGCTTTTGCTTAATCATACCTTCGACCCTAAACCTTCAGGGCGTGAACTGAACTTTACTCGCTGTTATCACCTTTTTATAATTATGTTAGATCGGCCATAAGTCTCGTTTGAACGCCTTCATGATATCGAACAACTGTATTTCTTAAGTAACTCAATGTACTACACGATCTTAAGCGATATCAGGACCCGCGCACTCTAATGAGCTCGCCTTGAAAAGCTAATTTTCAATCATGATTATGTTTTTTTCAGTTTTCAGCGAAGACGAGCCAGACATCAACAGTGACTTGGAAATCACGGTATGTTTATTCTATTATTAACCCAAACCTCGCCACAAAGATCGGTCCTGTGTTGCTTGCGTCCAGCGGATCCCCACGAACCTCAATAGGTCGTCAGTCTATCTTGTGGGAGGCCTACCCTCGCTATTATTATTATTATTATTAGTATTAATTATTCATAACGAATTAATGAATTCGAAGATATTTTAATTTTCCTATATTTAAATAAAGAATTCTAAACTAAACGTGAATCGATCACGACGTTATTCGTTAAAATAAATAGTAAAAATAAAAAGACGATTAGCAAAGTAAAAAATATTTTCGAAAAAGATAGTTCGGTAACAAATAACATTTTTGGAAATTGAATTAAAAAAAATGTTGTTTGAATTATGTTTATTAAATTCGGGTACAGTTATATGTTTTTTTTTTTTAAAAAGATTAAAACTTTACTATTTCAATTTTTAGGGCAAGATGTTCCAAACCGCTGAAACCGTTGAAGCTATCGTCGGTCAGCTCATGGAGAAGCAACGAGCAGCTAGAGCAGCAGCTTTAGCGAGACAACTGGAATGCAGTTGCCCGGATTCCACCTGCCAGGATTCCAGAAACTGCACTCATCCGTTGCGACGCATCCAAGCTGCCAAAGCGCCCGCTTCAGATCACCATGTATCGTCGACAACCGGTCCTTCCCCACGTCCAATGAGCCAGCCTCCTCGTCAATATACCAGAGATCATAGACCTAGTCCACAGCAAGCATCACCTTTGCTGCTATCTCTTGGTCAAATCCAGGGCGGTGGAGGCCTGCTCATACTAAATGGCACCAGCAACACAACACAACAGCACTCATCACTGGTTTCTCCTCTGTCTGTAACGTCATTTGTTTGTGAAGATACCAGAGATAACAGATACAGACAACAATACAAGCCGACGTTTGTACTGAAGAGAGAAATACCGGACAGCCAACCGACTTCTTGCATTCAAACTACAGAAGCATTTGAAGATAAGAAGCCGGAAATGAGTTTCGATAGGAAAATAAAAGTGGAACCAAGAACAAGGAACCAGATGGTGGCGAGCGCTCCGGCTACACCATCTCGATACCCTGATTTGGTGGAGAGGTTGGAGAGTAAAGTGTTGACAGAAAACTGTGATGATACCCTAGTGCTATTAGGAACTGACACTCATCTCGGGTCTAATGGGTTCTTTGATGAGACATTAGAATTATCTCACGAAGATATACAGAAAACTTTATCAGCTAACATGCCTACTTGTGAGCTAGATCGAAATGGAGTACGATCTACAGACACAGCGAATGTTATGGTGTCAGGAATCGATACAATGGACTTTATCGAGAGCTGTGAAGCGGTTGCATCTCCTACACAAGTTGTTGACGATAATGTGTTTGTCAATCTAGATGCTTTTGATATGTTAGGAGATTTTCCTGAATTGGAAGTTTTGGATCCGACATCGATATCTACTAATCCCGTGGTATGAAATTATTTACTCATTTAAGAACAATATTTTCTTTTTTATATGTATTTTTACATCTAAATGTTCAACCTAATGTTGTATTATAAGTGTAAGAAACCCTTGATACATACGTATATGGTACATACACATCAATACTTATTATATCAAGCACTATTATGATAAATTAAATCATAATAAATCATTTTTAGTATAGATAGTAGGGACCCTATTGCGCTGTTGTTAAAAAAAATATTTCTATTATTATTCGTAATTATACTATTTATAAATAAGTACACTTAATTTTTTCAGATGTTTTAATACTGAATATGCAGTAAATTTATAATAAGCGACAATGACATATAATTTTCAGACATTATGCGGCAAGTCACCTATAGCTGATGACGGCAGTGAGAAGATGCAGACAGAAACAAGCGAAGGAGCTCTTAATATTACAGACTATTCACCAGAATGGGCATATCCTGAAGGAGGAGCAAAAGTTCTTGTGGCAGGACCATGGACGGAATCCGCCGATCAGTACACAGTGCTGTTCGACAATTTTCCTGTACCATCGGTCTTGGTACAGAATGGCTTGCTGAGATGTTACTGTCCAGGTGAGATTTGGGAATTTTTTAGTTAATATTTCTTTTTAACTAAATGACGACTCATCTGTGTGCTTAGTGCGAGTGTTTTAACGTTCTCTATAGCGTAAAAGTTAATTCAAATTTGTATGCAGCTGTAACAGCGCCCCTAGTGGCAAACATAAGCAAGCTTTCCAAATTCGCACTAAGCACACTGGTCATGACAGTAATTCACATATAAAAGCAAACCTTTTGCTAAAATAATGTATGACAGATTTGTTCCCCTTTAAAATATCTAAAAAAAAACACGACAGCATATGTCTATATGTTAAGGTTGGCTCACTATAACGTTTTTAATGCTAACCAAATTTGTTCTAAAATAAAGCATTATTTGTGAAGGTGTTTTTATAAAGATGATATTAATCCCTATCCAATTAAATACGTTATTCATTACAACATTGAAACACCCAAATCACTTCAAGATGGGCTTTGACAATTATAGATTTTTCTGGACTTCTCCAGGATCCCAGATCATCAGATCTTGATGATTACAGGACCATTCAGGAAGTCTACTTTTTCGAACAACAAAAAAAGAAAAAATAATTATCAGAATCGGTTCAAACATTCCCGAGAAATCGGTGAACATACATAGATAAAAAATTGTGGTCGAATTGATAACTTCCTCTTTTGAAATCGATTAAACAGCGTGATTTTGGTACCTTAGATAGCTTCTATTATTCAAAAATATTTTCACTTTCTACGTAAATGAAGAGGCGGGTAAAATTTGGCGTTATGCCAAAGTAACTTTTCCACGCGGACGAAGTCGCGGGCAAAAGCTAGTGTAAGTATAATATGTATACTTATTTCTTTCGTTTCAGCTCACGAAGCTGGGCTAGCGGCGTTGCAAGTGGCTCGCGGAGGACGCGTAGTATCAGATGCTGTCGTCTTTGAGTACAAAGCGGGTCCGACGCCGGCACCATCGTCTCCCGCATCAGCACCGCTACCGTCACTCGACTTTAGACGGTTCTCATTGCTGCAACGCTTACAGCGGCTGCACGGTCGCCTGCAAATAAAAAATGAGCCCATGGATGAAAATAATCAGGTAAATATTTACAGGAATCACGGTGACCGACATAGAACTCAGTGGGCAGGGCACATTACTCTTGAAACGGATGGCCGTTGGGTCCGGAAAGTTTTTGAGTGGCGACCGCGTACCGGCAGACTTAGCGTGGGTAGGCCTCCCATAAAGTGGACCGATGGACTATTGAGGTTCGCGGGGATCCGCTGGATGCAGGCAGCACAGGACCGGTCTTTGTAGCGAGGCTTGGGGGAGGCCTATGTCCAGCAGTGGACGTCTGTGGCCTGATAGATAGATAGATTCACAAAAGAGAATTTGGCTTTATAACTGGAGATGACCGCAGAATTTAAGCCGGGTAAGGATTTGTAGCTACGAGTTGCTTATTTTGACCGTCCATGGACCGTGAAAAGTTATTGGTGGTATATTAAGCCCGCATCACGTGCGGCAGATTTCCAGTTTTCACCTGTCTGATAAATGCTAATAACAGATGGGCTGAGGACTTGTCTGTCTAATTCAATTGTTTTGAATTTGATGTGGTTACTTAGTTATAGCATCATATCTATATATATTTGTAATTTATAATTAAAGAAGATAATTATATCTGGACTAAAACTTGAGTAACAAAACTGATAAATTGAGATTGGCTTCATAAATCTTATTAGCAATAAATAGTCTGTTCGACTTCGATGCTGGTCTCTTCAAACTATTGATAATATTTCCCCTCCTTTTACCAGTCTTACCGAATTCCCTAGTTTTAAATCTTATGACTAAGTACTATTGGTAGGGCATGTTATAAGTTATGTAACTATCATGGATAGGCCAATTAGCAACTCCGAATTCAGTTTTAACACCACTCTCGATTCAGTGTCTATACTCAAAATCTGAAGATTTTCCTCCGGTTTGCGAAAACTAAAGTACTAAATTACACTCATTACAATTTACAGCTTGAAGACGTCCAAATCTACTCAAACCCGAAATTCGAAGAGCGCTTAGTTACATTTTGTCAATCATTGAGCTCAAGGTCGTTTGGTAATCCCGAAGGGTTTACCACAGAGCCTGGCGAGGATGGTTCTACGATCCTACACTTAGCTGCAGCTTTAGGATATTCGAGGTTGACGACGGTCTTGCTCCGTTGGAGACAAGATGACAGTAGCCTGGCGTTGGAGAAAGAAGTCAATTTGGGTGCGAGAGACAGCGATAACTGTACGCCTTTGGTGAGTATTAAATCACTCGACGCCCTGCCTTTGGAACATTGTGGCGGTAGCTATCATATAACGCAAGATATTTGTCAGATGCCTGAATCTCGCATATAACATTTTCAAGATAGGCTTGCATATTTAAGTACATGTTCATGTTGGTCTACCGAGCAATGTCACCCGCTCGATGGAAGATCGTTCTTTTCATCGTAAACTTCTAAAAGCTTAACGCAAGTTAACTTGGTCCCTTAATATTATTTGCTTATAACTAGCTCATGTTGGTAAATAGGCTCAATGCACCTCTATTTTTATTAATTACCGGAATCTATACATATAACAATATCATTGTCATCACCCACTTTAAAATTAGAAGTTGCACTGATATCTTTTGGTTTTTCAGATGCTTGCTAGTGCTGCAGGTCACACGGAAACGGCCGTAGTGCTAGCACGATGGAGTGCTGGAACTCAAACAGAAGCTGGTGCCAGACAGGCTTCTACAGCAGCAAGGCGTGCTGGCCACATTAAGCTGGCCACTATGTTGGATAGGATACATCCACCGCCGAAAGACGGAGTGTTCGTAAGACCACATGGGTATGTTTGCATGGATATCGAATATGGATATATAAATGGTGACTAAAAACAAAATTGTGTGTTAATTACCAACTTGACTAGGCAAAAAACGAAATCACCGCACGCAAAAAAAAACATTGCGAGTTTATGCCTACATCTGTTAGCGGCTATAGTTCCTTAAGATAAGTCGGTAAACTTGTGAGATTTATTAACTAACAAAATATGTGAACAGGTTTTTAAAAGTGACACTCAGTACTAAGACATATTGAAAGATGGCTGAAATTGTTCACTTTATTAATCAATCTTCCTTCCTATTCGTACACTCTTGACAGAGTGGTCGTGGTCATGCATCAGTTGGATCCTGCGATACCGATGCTCTCGCGATGCGACGCCATGTGGCACGATGTTTCGCAGAGTGAGAGCAAACATTAATGTTGGAGTGAGTAACAGATTTTATGAGGTCGGTCCATCGTGTTGGAGATCGTCCGCGAGATCTTTTGCCCTCGACTTTCCCTTGCACCACCAACCGCTCAATGGAATCCTCATTACGAGTGATGTGCCCGAAGAATTTGAGGATTCGTAATTGGACTGTTGACGATAGTCTCTCCTTGATGTTGAGCTCTTTCAGGATCGAAATGTTGGTACGGTGCGCGGTCCACGGAATTCTGAGGAGACGTCTCCAACACCACATTTCCAGTGCGTCAATCTTACGACGGTCTTGCATCCTCAGCGTCCACGTCTCAGCCCCATACAGAAAGATTGGAAAGACCAGGCATCTCATTAACCGAACTTTTGTTTTTTTGGTTATTCTGCGGTCTCTCCAAATCTTTGTTAGCCTCTCAACTGAAGATCTTGTCACGGCGCAACGTCTTCGGATCTCATCTTCGCAGCCTCCAGCGTTGGTGATAGTGGAGCCTAGCTATTTACTAGCTTATTAATCAATAAACATGATTAAAGGATATTATCATGGTAGTCTGGGATAGTACATGTAGTCGAGAGATTATGTTAAAATCTCTGTTGCTGCTATTTCTCTCTTCAATCTTTAGCGCCGTGCGATGACTTCGAGATATAAACAGATCGACTGGTAGTATCAGTGGCGGAACAATGCTATCGGTGGACTAGTTCTTCTAGCAAGAGGAAATTAATTAGATAGGAAATAATCTGGATTTAACAGTACCGTGGATGGACGACGAGGAAGTTCTAGTAATACTTTAATAGGAGTCGCAGATCCACGTATTCTGATAATAGATTGTTAAACCCTCTGTCCTAAAATTTAGAGTCGCAATTTATTCTCCATTAGTAAAATAGCTTATAACCTTTCGGCTTCTTCTTCTGCTCGTCTTTAAGATATAAAGTCAATGGCTAACAAAGTAGTAGATGGCATTGCGTTGTAAATTGTTGAACTAGATCAATAAAATTCGTCCGAGCACGTATCCATGATTTAGGTTAATAGGATACGGTTTTACCGTTTACGGTAATTGATGAATGAAAAGATGCTAACAGAGTCACGGTAAAAAATTAAGCTTAGATTTGATGGAGATTAAATGGGGAAATAATCTATACTTCTATACTAATATTATAAAGAGGAAAGATTTGTTTGTTTGTTTGTTTCGAATAGGCTCCGAAACTACTGGACCGATTTGAAAAATTCTTTTTCCATTAGAAGCCGACATTGTCCCTGATGAACATAGGCTACTTTTTTTTTTTTTTTTTTTTTTTGGTTTCATGTGTGTTTTAATATTTCCGAAGCAAAGCGAGGGCGGGTCGCTATAGCTAATAAACATATTCATTTCCTTTATTTATTTAGAATTTTTTTCAGATTATCCCAGAAAGGTCGCACGAGTAGCTTGGAGAGTAATCTTGTTAAAAGACCTTCTATAGACAGCGGCATAAATATGGCTGACGCATTTAGGTCTAATTCTGCTAGTGAAAAATTCGAAGGAAGCTCATCAACTAGGTGAGTTCTTTACTAATATCCAACAAATATATCAAAGTATGACTAAACTAACTCAAATTAATATGGAGATTTCAATAATTAGTTTTGAAGACACTTGTTTTTACCTACACTTCATATAGTAGGACTTTTTGTGATAACTTTAAATGAACCTTAGCACTTGGTATATGTATATGTTTATTGTTTTATTTAAATATCTGTTAATGATTACGGATGTGCAGTTTATTTAACTAAAGACAGTGTTACAGATGGGAAAGAAGCACGTCATTGCCATTAGATTCAGATAATTCAGAGGATAGTCTTGGTGACGCCAAGATCGGTAGGAGAATGGACTTAGCCCTCTGTAAGTATCAAACACATCGTCCACATATCATTTCATAGAGTATTCGTTTTTCATTTGCTGACGATTATTTATTTATATCGGCACGGCGGCTGATAATAATGGACGAATGATATGTCGGGTTTAAGGTTCAGCTGCGTTCTCAAATTTAGACGACGTCGTCTACGGTCTTTCAGTCGGACGAGTTGAGTTCCTTTTGAGCCCGCAAGACATCTCAATGTAGTATAGACTACCGACAATTGAGAAGCTGATTTTTGTTGCTTGAAATTAGTTGAAACGTTTAGTCTGTAATGAGAGGCACATAACATTATGTTGACGATCGAGGTAAGATGTTGTCGGGTAACAGTTGAAGAGCAAAGTCGATGGTTGTCTAGAATGAAAAGGAACTCAAGTCGTGGGTCGGATGGTAAGTTGCGGGTGGTTCCCAGGCGAGACGGCCCCGCGGCGAGCGCAGAGCCCGCTCATAGACGTGGAGACGCTCTCCGACGCCGAGCCGACCAACGCCCCGCGCCCAGGTCAGTGCGCCACGCTCGCGGAGGGTACACAACACTGCATCAAGCTTCCACTTTCCAACATCTAAATTGGATACCCTTAAAAACAATCTTTGGAAAAATTGAGATCTAAGCTCCTAAGAAACAAATGGGATTTATATTAAAATACAGCTAAGACTAGCAGATATTTGAATTTAAGTTAATTGGGATTGCTTTTAAAGAAAATTAAAGGCTTAAGGAACGAAAAGTGTTCTGTACCATCACGTGCCGTTGCGTCTACCCCTCCGCTCCACCTTCGATGTTGTGAATGTAGTAGTTGCATCGCCGCTCTGGCAGCTCGTACCTATTCTTCTACCAATGAATATCTATATACTACCCACTCTGTCGCTACCTTCGAACGAAGAGTACGTTGTTAGACCACCTATTTAGATTTCTTCTGTGTTTCGATGTCCTTGTATTGAGCGGAGATTCCCGATTGTTGATATTTTATAGATTCCTATCAAAACTAAATCGATTTAGACTGGGCATGTGATATAACATGCCTGTACCATTAGGCCCTGGAGTTTATTAACCAGATTTTTGCCAAAGATGTCACTAAAAGTCTGCCTCTGGAATGTCAGGTTTAAAATCGGTTTGGTTTTCTCGATGTTGTCTTTCGATGTGGCTTTCGATGGTTTGTCCTGGTCTATCCACTATCACTATATTATCACATCCAAGATCGGTTTCACTATAAAATTATATCTACAAAGTCCCACACATTTCAGACTTCGTTCTGAGAGCACTGGATCAACAGAATTGATAATATACTCTGAACAGTTTATTACTGCATGTTGGCTAAAACGCTTGCATGATTGGTTAATTCAATGGCTTTTTATGTGTAGTTCTGCTCATTGATAACGAAACGGTAAGTGCTTTGGCTTCAAGATGTTTTGGGCACAGAGACATTCGCACTTTTTTTGTTTTTTTCACGATCCTCAAGACATTCAATATCATCAATTTTACTGAGTGCGAAACATGAAACCTAAGTCCGAAGATATTATAAAAAGAACAGTTACTATTTCGAAATAATCCAACTGTAATAGTAGTAATTCAATGAATATAATGGTAAGAAATACAAAAGAATACGTTTCTTTCAATTATTTTTGATGTGCGCTATAAGTGTTTAGAATTAGGTTAAAGTAAAAGAATGTACCGATGTATTCATTAGTGAGTCTAAATGTTGTCGTAGCGGAGTCGATGTGTTGGAGTAATATTGCGATGTAAGGTTTCATTGGATTAAACATTTTCAGGGGAGCAGGACGACAGAGTGTTCACGCTGGCCGAACAAATCATAGCTGCTATGCCAGACAGAATCAAAGTAAGTTAGAGAAATCAATAAATTTTCAACACGTTTTTTGAAACGAAGTTCCTTATGGAACGATGCGGAGGGGTACTCTCGTAACCGGGAAAAACGTCCGTAACGTAAGATTTTTATTAGTAATGCACACAGTGTACGATTTACTTTGTAATAACGTACAGATTAGTAATGCACACAGTGTACGATTTAACTTTGTAATAACGTACAAAAAATAACATATTTTTTTATAATTCATTGACCGCGATCTCAGATTGAAAACCTTCTTTTTTGAAGTCGGTTAAAAACGGGACATCAAGGATGCTTCGTGTCAAAAAAAGGTAGGGAAGTGGTTCCGATCCGTACTGGCTAATGTCTATAAAGATACTAGCGATTAACCAAACTTTGGGAGTTTTTCATGAACACATAATAAATAATAATAATAATATATATTTTATTCAAGCCTCTTAAAATACAAACACGTGCAAGAACTCTTAACATTAGTATAATAATATACATGGCTTTTTTATGAGGTATACANTTAAAAAAAGGTAGGGAAGTGGTTCCGATCCGTACTGGCTAATGTCTATAAAGATACTAGCGATTAACCAAACTTTGGGAGTTTTTCATGAACACATAATAAATAATAATAATAATATATATTTTATTCAAGCCTCTTAAAATACAAACACGTGCAAGAACTCTTAACATTAGTATAATAATATACATGGCTTTTTTATGAGGTATACAATAACAATATTTCCTGACTTTTATGCTAGGAAAACCTGTGTTACAATAGTCAGTGGTTCAGTGCTAGGTCACCAGGTAAGTAAGTTAACCAGGAAGAGCGATCTGTAAGAATATACTACGTACGTGTGTGTGTTTGTGTGTATTGTGTATGTGTTTGCGTGTGTGTGTATGTAATTTTGATGAATTATTTAGGTAAAGAAGTACTTATTCGTGGTTAAACTGTTTCATTATCGTGCACATAATAAACAACAGATTGATCTTGGGATTGGCTGACCAATAAAGCGATATAAACTAAACAAAATGAATGCTTACCAAACTAACATCTAAATGTTTATAGATATGGCTTTGTAATTTATAATTCAAGGGCTATTTGGCAAAGGCTATTTGGTTTAAGCGAGATTCTTGGAATCTTACAAGAGAGCCATTTAAATTTTAAATTTTTGAAAAAATATCATAACAATAAATGTTCATCAGCTATATCTGAAGTTCAATTAGAAACAGCGAATTGTTGATACTAATACCAAATAAAACGGACCTTTAATTATAAAGAATAGATGATCACCGAGCTTTGCTCGATTGTTTTTTGATAACGCCATCTTGTTGTGTCTTTAAAGCAGTTAGTTGTCCTCAATTAAGAAAAATAGTAGTAGTAGTTATTCGCCAATAGATGTCGGGAAGAGTTGATTATTGAAAACACGAATAATACAACATTTTCTGAAAATAAATCGTAGCTAGATCGATTTATCGGCCCCGAAATCCCTTGTATACTAAATTTTATGAAAATCGTTGGAGCCTTTTCCGAGATTCAAATTATATATATATATATATTAATATACAAGAATTGCTCGTTTAAAGGTATAAGATTAGTTAAGATAAAAGTCGCGTGTTAAGTGAAAGGTCCCTTAAACCAAATAGCCTTTCATCCGTCGATATGATTTTCAACAGAACGAAACCTCATCCCTCCTATCGGGGTGCGGCTTGGAGACTGGTAGCGGTGAAGATACGCTTATGGTTCCCTTACTCGATGACACTACCACTTTTAGCACCGAATTTAGTTTCGAGTTCTGCGATAATACATACAGGTACCAATAACTCTTTCACGATTATTCAATCAGCTATTAGCAGTTTAGTTCAAACAATTACCTACATTTTAAATTATCTCAGGAATTAAGATTTTTATTGATTTTGTGAACAACTTGATTAATAGAAATATTATATAATAATATTATCTATTTAGCTTGTCGAATATGAAGTCGTCGTGGCCTAAAGGATAAGACGTCCGGTGCATTCGTATGTAGCGATGCAACGGTGTTCGAATCCCGCAGGCGGGTACCAATTTTTCTAATGAAATACGTACTTAATAATTGTTCACGATTGATTTTCACGGTGAAGGATTAACATCGTGTTATAAAAATCAAACCCGCAAAATTATAATTTGTGTAATCACTGGTGGTAGGACCTCTTGTGAGTCCGCACGGGTAGGTACCACCACCACCATACCTATTTCTGCCGTGAAGCAGCAATGCGTTTCGGTTTGAAGGATGGGGCAGCCGTTGTAGCTATACTGAGACCTTAGAACTCAATCTCAAAAGGTGGTTGGCGGTATTTACGTTGTAGATGTCTATGGGCTCCTGGTGGGCTGTGAGCTCGTCCACCGGTCCAAGCAATAAAAAAAAAAACTTACGTTTTGCCTTATTTCTAAAACAGATTTTATTTTCGTATGTACTAATACGATGTTCGTGTTTTGTTTATGGCTTCTTTAAAAATACTAGTCCACTCCCATATAGGTACTGTGGAGGTTCGACCCCGTCATCGGGGTCAGTGTCCCCGGGGTCCACGTTGTCTCCGCCGCCCCCCTCTCCGCACGCCGCACCCCCTCACTCGTCGGCGACACTACAGGAGTTCCTCAACACTACCACTCACTTCTCCAATTTGACATTGAACGGTAAGAGTGTTAGTTGGAGCTGTTCCATGTTAAACGTATATCCTAGTCATAATGTAGCCTTTAGCTGTGCGCCTGTACAGCAAAATCCCACAAGATGGTTAGAACCTACTTAAACATAGGTTTAAGAAAACTATTAAAGAACATCTGTGCAATAAAGCTTACTATAAAGTCAAAATGATTATCTAGAAGATTGCACAAAGTGGGAATGAGTTGCTCGCTTCGGGCATTTCAATATTGCAATAATTGTTACGTTATAATACTCATTGTAAAAATGAATATTAAAAAAAATCTGATATTTAAAAAAAAACATGCCCGCTGAGTTTCTTGCCAGTTCTTCTCAGGACGGAGGCTAGTTTTTGTGAATTGGCGGTAGTTCTTTTTGACGTTTAACAAGTATGTACATATTTTCATTTATGTTGAATAATTTTTTTTTAATTTGATTTGATTAAGTAATGTTTTTTTTTTTTTATTGCCCTTGTGGGCAGACGAGCGTACGGCCCACCTGATGGTGAGTGGTTACCGTCGCCCATGGACCTCAGCAATGCCAGGGGCAGAGCCAAGCCGCTGCCTACAAAAATAATGTAGTTCCACTTCTCGAGGAGCTGGGCATTTATGCTGTCAAAGTCTCGAAACTGAGCTTGCTTACTTGATTGAAAGGCACGCCTTTTAACAGAAACCGAGAAAGCGAAAGCGAAACATCAAAAATGAATAAAACATTTGACGTTCGACAGAAAAAAAAAAAAAAAATCAATTAACGACTATTGTGCAGTTCGATTTTTTTTTATTGCCGTATAGGTAGACGGGCATACGGCCCACCTGATGGTGAGTGGTTACCATCGCTCATGGACGTCAGCAATGCCAGGGGCAGACCCAAACCGCTGCCTACCGAAATATATACCGATTATTATAGGTATTAGGTATCAACCTTAGCGCGCATATGTATAACGTTTTTAATAAGTATTTATAAATAACCATTTAAAATTGTTTAGCTCTGAATTTAGCATTGATTTTTGGATTTTTTTTATAAATTTCTCAATCGCAATCTCTGAAAAATAAATAGAGATATAAATAAATAGAAATAATAAAAGGGTTAAAAATGTTTTAAAAACGATATTTTGAAAAATTTCTGTCTTATTATATGACTTACACAACGCACAGTAAATGCGAATGGGTGAAATAATTCGAGAATAACATCTTTAAATTAATGTAGAAAATTTATTACTGTCTAGTTTAATTTATATTCCCAATACGTATTATCGTAACGCTTGAAATGTAATGCAATTTTTCGAATTTAGATTGAGTAATTTAAATTTTATATAGCAGTAAAATATCTATGGATCCTGTGAACGATTTCTGCGTAGATACGGAACGCATCGATTTACGATTAGATAACGGTCATTTGACGGTAGACAGCATTCATATTCCGAATTCACTACCTACAAAATTTCCGTTACCACGCCTTTTCAAATTTGGAATCGACGCAGCAACAATGGACACTAAAAATCGAGTAATTCATTAATTTTAAATTAATTTTGTTCATTAAACGTCTCGATAAAACTAAAATATTCGAATCTATTAGTGATTGTTTTAAAGACAAGCTAGGCAACGTTCTGATTTCAACTATGAACATTTTTAATGGTGAATTGTTAATGTTTAGATCGGGAAGCAGCGTGAGTTATACACAGCGGCCATTACGATACAAGTTATTGTTTTAAAGACACGCTAGGCAACGTTCTGATTTCAACTACAACAGTTTTTAATGGTGAATTGTTAATTCTTAGATCGGGAGCAGCGCGAGTTATACACAGCGGCCATCACGATACAGAAGGCGTATCGTCAGTACCGAGGCAGACAGTTGCAACGGAGGGCAGCAGCGGCGGCTATCACTATACAAAACTGCTTCAGAAGATACAAGCAGGTACGACCTAGGTACAAACCGTCATATCGGAATCAAACAAAGTTCTCGATTATTCTCGAATTGAATATCTGACATTGTCGTTTCTTATAACAATGAGTTGCTGTTTGTTAGTCTCGCTAAAACTCTAGAACGGCTGGACCGATTTGGCTAATTTTGGTCTTGAATTATTTGTGGAAGTCTAGAGAAGGTTTAAAAGATCTATAAAATATGAAAATGCTCGGAATTCAATAAAAATAACAATTTTGTTTTCCCTTTGATGTGTCCCCTGTCGGACGGATTCCTTTTGTATTTTATTTATCGATTGAGGCACTACGAAGTCTGCCGGTTCAGCTAGTATTATATAGATATGCTATCGTTTCTTTGGGTAAAGCATTCTCAAATGCTTCATCTAAATTATTATGGACGAGGAATAGAAGTTCGTATAAAGCTAATTTTCTGATATGACTTATAGGGTCTGTTGTCGAAAACATTGATGAAAAATCTGAAAATACCGATAAAAATTTTGAGAATTAACTATAAATGTATTTAATCTGGCCTCTTAATAAGGTACATTGTTTGAAGTGATAGCTTCCAAAATTGTATTATCATCGTAAAATGTGTAATTTTCTCATGTGTTCAGTATTAATAAGTATGTCCGCTTATAAGAGATAATGTAGAATTTCTCGAAAAAAAAAAAACTATTTTGTTTAATATATCAAACTACCGTCATTAGCGGATTTAAATATGATATAGATGTTTCGCTCGAAAAAAAAAAACTACCGCGCATTATAGTTTTTTTTTTTTGGAACAATTCGTTCCGATGGTTTGTCACTAGCTGACAATAAGTCGCCTAATTCGAATTCCTGGTGATGCATGTACATATTCTCGTGCAGCAATGAATGAAGTTTGCCTTCCTATATTCTTAATCAAATGGACATATGACGTCACGCGTACTCCTAGATCGATTCATCTCATTCACTCATTCATCTCACTCATTCATTTTACTAGTGGTAGGACCTTATGTAAGTCCGCACGGGTAGGTACCACCAACCCGCCTATTTCAGCCGTGAAGCAGTAATACGTTTCGGTTTGAAGGTTGGGGCAGCCGTTGTAACTATACTGAGACCTTACAACTAATATCTCAAGGTGGGTGGCGCATTTACGTTGTAAATGTCTATGGGCTCCGGTAACCACTTAACATCAGGTAGGTTGTGAGCTCGTCTACCCATCTAAGCAATAAAAAAAAACTCCTAGATCGATTCATCTCAATTTTTTATCGTCATAGAGATTATGTATGAAGTTCAAATGCGCATAATGTATAGTTTATAGTTTTTTCTTGCTAAAGCTCCATATAACGTATGTAAATTTAAATAAACGCACCACAGAGATAGGTTTATAAATATTATACATCCAAAAGCATGTTTACTTAATTTTGTTCTTTGTAAAAAAACACAAAAATAAAATTTATAATTTCCATTTTCATTATTATGTATGAGCGTCCAAGCTAAACCTATTTAAAGTTTTCTTGATGTACTTACATATTTGAAAATAGCAGGTATTGCTATCAGTACACTCACCATCGGGTATGCTCGTCTGCCTACAAGAGCAGTAAAAAAAGAACATTCTAAAACACAGCTGAACTGCTGATAAGCGATTCGCGGCTCCTACAAATATTAAGCTAACACTAAAATTAAGTCGAAACATGCTTTTTTTATTGCTTTGATGGGCGGACGAGCTCACAGCTCACCTGGTGTTAAGTGGTTACTGAAGCCCATAGACATCTACAACGTAAATGCGCCACCCACCTTGAGATATAGTTCTAAGGTCTCAGTATAGTCACAACGGCTGCCCCACCCTTCAAACCGAAACGCATTACTGCTTCACGGCAGAAATAGGCGGGGCGGTGGTACCTACCCGTGCGGACTCACAAGAGGTCCTACCACCAGTAAACTCACAAGAGGTCCTACCACCAGTAAACTCACAAGAGGTCCTACCACCAGTAAACTCACAAGAGGTCCTACCACCAGTAAACTCACAAGAGTTCCTACCACCAGTAAGCTCACAAGAGGTCCTACCACCAGTAAGAAGCGTATTTTGTTAGTTTTTTTAAACTATTATTTATTTCTTGATTAGTTCGCCTACTTGAAGCAAATGCACGCTGCGGCTACCGTCATTCAGCGAGGTTACCGCTCTATGAGAGCCAGGAGAATCTCTACCCCCACCGTCAAGTAAGTTGATAGATTAATAGACTTTACCATCGGAGTTTAGCAGTAGTAATAAATAGATATTGACTCGTTTCGGCTTGAAGTGCTAAAGCGATTCGAACGATCAAGTGGTATTTGCATTGTATATGAGCTTAGCACGAGGTGAGCTTTAAGCTCATTTACGTATCTATACTAATATATAAATCTACAGTGGTTTTTAAGTTTTTTTTTTGCTTAGATGGCTGAACGTGCTCACAGTCCACCTGGTGTTAAGTGGTTACTGGAGCCCATAGACATCCACAGCGTAAATGCGCCATTGAGATATAAGTTCTAAGGTCTCAAGTATAGTTACAACGGCTGCCCCACCCTTCAAACCATAACGCATTACTGCTTCACGGCAGAAATAGGCAGGGTGGTGGTACCTATACGTGCGGACTCACAAGAGGTCCTACCACCAGTAAGACTACCGTTATAACTATGAACCATGCATCCGATTGACTTGAAACTAGGTATTCATGTAGAAAATACATGTACTTAATGGATAGGTTAATATTTATATGAGTGTTGGACTCCCTAATAATAATGACAATAAATAATAATGTTAATTTTAAATGCTCAGCGAAGCGGGCGAGTACCGCTAGTAAGCTAATAAATTAATTAGATAGATTAATGATTGCTACAAACACAAAACTATGTCGTTTTCTTGAATTTTAGAAAATCGCTTGGTCATTGTTGTTATAGTCATTATTATTTATCACGTGTACGAGAATACAAGTGAATATAGAGGGATAAGATTTTTTTTAGTCTTCCCCATAAATGGTTTCTGTTATTGAAAATAGTTTAATGTACAAAACAGAAAAAAAAAATGTATAGCCATTATTGCTATGTACCTTTCACAGTGTTGCCTGCATTATGACGACCTTATTCGAACTAGGTTTGAAGTCATCGTGGCCTAAAGGATAAGACGTCCGCTGCATTCGTATAGGCGATGCAACGGTGTTCGAATCCCGCAGGCGGGTACCAATTTTTCTAATGAAATACGTATTCAACAAATGTTCACGATTGACTTCTACGGTGAAGGAATAACATCGTGTAATAAAAATTTAACCCGCTAAATTATAATTTGCGTAATTACTGGTGGTAAGACTTCTTGTGAGTTCGCACGGGTAGGTACCACCGCCCTGCCTATTTCTGCCGTGTAGCTGTAATGCGTTTCGGTTTGAAGGGTGGGGCAGCCGTTGTAACTATACTGAGAACTTAGAACTTGTATCTCAAGGTGGGTAGCGCATTTACGTTGTAGACGTCTATGGGCTCCAGTAACCACTTAAAACCAGGTGGGCTGTGAGCTCGTACATCCATCTCAGCAGTAAATAAAAAAATACTAATTGTCTACCTTGTCTTCAAATGAAAGTGTCAAACCAAGTATCCTTTTGCACTAATGATACGTCCCAGAATTTCATTTATACATTGTACCTAAACATTAGTAATTTTTTATTGCATAGATGGGTGGACGAGCTCACAGTCCACCTGGTGTTAAGTGGTTACTGGAGCCCATAGACATCTACAACGTAAATGCGCCACCCACTTTGATATATAAGTTCTAAGGTCTCGAGTATAGCTACAATGGCTGCCCCACCCTTCAGACCGAAACACATTACTGCTTCACGGCAGAAATAGGCAGGGTGGTGGTACCCACCCGCGCGGACTCACAAGAGGTCCTACCACCAGTAAAAAAAGTGTTTACGTATTTTAATACATGTGTTCAAATTCATTTAAATTTAAAAAATAGTAATCAATATAGTAAAAATGTATACAGGAGAACGTATTCGCAACGACGTCAAAATCAAGCAGCTCGAAAAATACAGCAATTCATGAGACAATCCAAGATAAAGTGAGTATATTGAATTCAAATTTATGTTTTCATACGCATGTAACTTGTGTTGGTCTGACATATAGTGAACTCGCACGGCATGATACTATTCTGTGAGTTTCTGTCGCGAAGCAAGTTCCGACTACAGGAGTGGAAAAGTTACTATAACTTAACAAAATTAAACAGTCGATCGGTGTTTTTATTTTATTGCTTAGATGGGCGGACGAGCCCACAGCCCACCTGGGGTTAAGTGGTTACATGAGCCCATAGACATTTACAACGCAAATGCGCCACCCACCTTGAGATATAAGTTCTAAGGTCTCAGTATAGTTACAACGGCTGCCCCACCCTTCAAACCGAAACGCATTACTGCTTCACGGCAGAAATAGGCGGGGTGGTGGTACCTACCCGTGCGGACTCACAAGAGGTCCTAACACCAATAAACCTACCACCAGCGGCCCTAAAAAAACATTTGAACCGAGCCACGACAAGTGAATAATAATAATCACTTACGTGCGGGCGAGACAAGCGGTAGTGACAAAGTGACTACATTTGGGTAACATTAACGCCAAGTCGAGAAAAATTACAGAGGATGCTTTAATAAAATTATTCAGTTGATGCATAATAATAAAAGGTCTTTCGTGACATTTCAACACAACACAATTTGAGATTTATGTATATTTAGATAAGGTTTTTTTTTGTGGTGTTAAAAATGCTCGTATAATAACGTATAGTAACGTGAAAATGAGAGTTCCCAATATCTTCGGTTTAGTAATATTATCTTCTAATTTATAATTTACGTAACCGCTTAAATAAAGCTCATGAATAAAATCTATCATAAAAATGTCACAAGTTTCCCTGTTAATTTATTGTGTAATTTAATTAGAATTAGTTTCAATAAAGATCAAACTCAACTATCCGATTTTATTTGAAAAATATCGGTGCGTTTAGAAAAAATATCAGTTAATGCACTTAGACAATGTAGCTATTGCCAAATTTTCTTTTATTCGATCCTTTTTACTTTTCTTTGGATTGTCAACTAAAATTGTAATAAGTAATAAGTAAATAAGTAAAAATAGTAATGTAATAGTAATGTAATAAGTAATTAAATACAAATACAACTAATTATACAGAAGAAAATTAAATAGTCATTAAATACAAATGTATTGGATATTGTATATTAAGAGTCGAAATTTTTGGTGTATTGTTTGTCGTATAGTTCCCATCTTCCAATGCTTTCAATATCCCCACTTTCTAATACCTATTTTTGATGGAAGCTTAAGTTTGAATTTCGATTTAATCTTAATTCTACGAAACTTGAAAAATTAACTCGTCCACTGTAAAAGTACATATATATATATGAGTATAATTGAGACCAAAAATAATGTAGTTGTCCGAATTTCTGCGTCGTTCTGTTGATGTCAATTGTGTTCATCATAATTTTAATAATATTATAATAAAAACAACAGCACCTGATGTAAGCTGATTTTTGTACATAATAGAACCAGCCTGAATTCTCATGACTTAACTATTTTATCTTTTATCTCTATATATAAAAATGAATTGCTGTTCGTTAGTCTCGCTAAAACTCGAGAACGGCTGGACCGATTTGGCTAATTTTGGTCTTGAATTGTTAAATTTGTGGAAGTCCAGAGAAGGTTTAAAAGGTGGATAAATATGAAAATGCTCGGAATTAGAGAAAAACAACAATTTTGTTTTCCCTTTGATGTGTCCCCCGTTGGACGGATTCCTTTTGTTTGTTTTAAGTTTATTTTATACAAAAGTTTAGGTCTTTTATTTGATCTCTTTTTTTTGACCTCTCGATTGAGTCACTACGAAGTCTGCCGGGTCAGCTAGTCATAGATTAAAATTCAATTTGAAAGAGAGGAAATCTATCAAATTTATTTGTTCGTGTTTTGTATAGTCTTTATAAATGGAATGGTTTATTGTATTGGAGAAAATTGTTTCGTAAATATTTGTAGACCGGACCAAATAGTCGTGTAAAAGGAAATATAATCGATGAGTAAAATAACTATTCCTTCTTCTGATTTAAATAAAATTAAATGCAAGCTTTTGTCTTTAGTTATATATTTTTCTCGTTAGCTATGTATGCATGTTTTGGTTTTATTGTTAATCAGGCATTGAATATCATGAATAACGATTTTTTGTTTTAAATTATAATATAACAAGAATAAATACATTTTGAGTTATTTAACATTGTGAGAACTTCAATATCCAATAATAAATAATCTAAGAAATAAACATCTAGCAATTTCATTAAAGTAAATTTAAAATTGATTCTGAATTGAATGAATGTAATTGTTTACAAAATGTTCTTTTTCAAATCAGGACTACTTATTATGTATGATTTGAAATTAAATGATGATATACTTTAGTTCTTGTCCTATGTTTTCAATTATTATAGTTTTCGAAATAAAGCTATCTGACAAGATATCAAGATTTTTGTAGCAGAAAAAAAATATCATTTTTCATATCCACAAGTTTAGAAAAATAAATTTGTAACAAGGCATCCATATTTAGGAAATAGAATAAAGACGAAAGAATGTAGGATATACTCAGGCCCAAATATTTTGATTAACTCTCATTAGTCTAGACTAGATTTCAATCTTTGAGCACATTTGACCACGTTTGTATATTATGACATATATTCATATTCAGTACAGTTGAGTGAACCACATAATAGCGTCCTTGAATATCGTGACCTCGCGATGAAGCTTACTCAACGAAATCAAGATCCATCTTGATTTTTCCTTTCCACCTTTATTACATGTCCATCGAAAGGACACAGTACTAAATTGCTCACGATACTGGAAAATTAGGTATAGATGGATAAAGAAACACTCATTTATAAATGTCTGTTATAGTTGATTTGATATTAGGTCGAGATAAGTTTGAAATGTCTAAAAGTAGCTGTTGCGTGTAATGATGGCGATTTAGGAGATTTTTTGTTTTCATTAAAAGTTAATAAAGTTAAATCAGGATTATTTATGGCTTAGTATAACACTAGTCATGTAGTTTGAAAAATAGCGAGTCTTGGTAATACCTACGTATGTCTTATTTTGTTTTTTGCATCAACAATTTGCTGCCAATGGCTGTGAAGTAGTATATATAGGAATAGTATAATTGGGATAGCTATAATTGTCAACAATATTGGATTGGTATATTTGCTTTGTAATATTAAATCAAAATAAACGTGAGGTTTAGTCAGATTTATGAAATTCGTCTTACCTTTATAGCACTAGACGGCCGTCTGGTGTAGTGGTAAGTGACATGGTCACACAAGGGGGTCGCGGGTTCGAATCCCGCCAAGGGAAGATATTTGTATGGTAAATATAAATGTCTTTTCCAGGGTTATGGATGTATACTAAATATATGTATGTGTTTAATAAAAAATCTTACATTTATTTCGTTATCTGGTACCCGTAACACAAGTTCTTTACGAACTTATTACGGGACCCGTTAACGTGGCGTGATTGTTAGTAGTAAATATTTATTTATATTTAAAAAAAATATACAAAAAAACTATTTGGGCCCAGTATGTCCTTTGATTCAGAGTTAATCCATTCAGAGTAAGAAGTGAGAGTCACGTGTAATTATTCATAAAAATATGGCAGTGGAGAAGTTTTCGCGTTCATCCTGCCCCGATATTGGGAACGAATTAAATTAAAAAAGGGTGAAACTCAAATTTATGCGACCGCTTTTTCCCAATTTATTCTGTTTGTGTGTAAAAGGAACTCCCCAAATTGTTCAGAGAAACTCATATGCCGACTCCATTATGTAGCAGCCAAAGCCCTTTTCAATGGCGCAGGGGATATGAGGATATGATTTATATCTTTTGTCGGAAGAAATGTATAAAAATATCAAATAATGTTTGATACGGTGCGTGCACTTTACATCTTTACCCATCTTCTGTCGGTAGGCTTATCCGTATTCGATTTTATTTATTTGCATTTGATTTGTGGTTATATGTCGATATTTCTATTCATAGAACTAGTCTGGCCATTATTTATGGCCGTTACATAAAAACTTTTTCAACTTTTTATTTTGAATTTGGAACAAGTATGTTATTTTAAAAACTTCTTTCGATTTTGCGCCATGGGGCCGTAAAACTGTATGGATAGATTAGTCTACACTGAGAATGAATACCGCTTAGCTTTCTCCTGAATATGAGGCTTGAGAATCATAAAGTTCTAACCATGTTACTTCAGTATAGCTATGGTTTGCTTGCTATCTTTGTTATCTTGAACAACAATTCTATTTCAAAATTTCTAAGTCTAATTTCTTAACTAACAGATTCTCATCACATTCGACCTATTACATCCAGCTTGCTTAAACCTTTACATAAATACAATAAGCGTTTACAAAGATATCAGGTTTTTATGGTCTCTGATTTAAATAACTAGATGATTTATTTCTAGTTTGTTATTTTTAGTCTTCATATTATTCTTTCTATCCAACGTTAGTTTATCGTAATTCGTTATTCAATCAACACAAAGTGGTACTCATTTCAGATCACTTTTCAAGTTGTCAGCCAAATAATATATAAAAAAAGCACTCCGATTAAAAATAAAACCCTCGCTATCATCATTCGGTAGCCGTCGGATCCCGATCAAATATCAAACTTCTTAATATCCATTGATACGCCGTTATTATAATGAACGATCGAACAAGCACGAACTTTCGGCGATTCGGTGGCTTCTAACTTTACCAAATTTTAATAAGAAAGCCGGAAATTTTCCTTCACTTGGCTTCATTTAATTATATCTATTTTATTTGAGCGATGGAATGCTTCTCTGTTACAATTTGAATAGTGTAATTAATTTATTCTCAATACTTATTCAATACTTATTATAATGTTTTTTTTTTTTTTTGGGCAATAAGAAAAAACTTTATTCTCATAGCGTAGGCCACTTTTATTTTAATTTCTATTGACAACTTTATCTCATTCATCATCCTACATACTTATCTACTGAAATATGTATTATAAATTTTAATTTGGGATGAAAACGTCATGTGGTTTGGGTGGTAGAGTGTGACGGCCATTACATAATACAATTATTATGAGTTCGACCTCATGCGAAGAGACGGGTGGTGAAATTCGCGTTGTAGTATTATAGTCTTATGTAACCTTACAACACTAGGTGTGAGGTGACATCATACATTTATGAAATATTGTTTAAAAAAATGATTTTATTTCGATATAACCTGTAAATATGTAGTATAGTACACTGAAAAGTTATCGAACTCCTGACCCCATTACTTTTGGCATGATTTTATTCTACTTTTCTATGACCAATGAATAAAAAGATTAAAAAAATTGATAATAATCCAAGTCTTATATTTACATAATGCATTTCAAAACAATCCCAAATGGAATCTCCATATTACACGTACGTGTCGTAGGCGCGTCAAATTTTTAACATCGTCATTAATAGATAATATTAACCCACTATGCTTCTCGCCAGATTTGTTAGTGGGTCGCGATTCTGAATTCCGATCCGGTGGTAGATTTTGTAAAGTACTACTCTTGCTGGACTTAGTATAGCAAATTCTCTGGTTGAGTCCGTGGGCTGTCCGCGCTTAGCTGTCCTAGCCCTTTAGATTATCAGCGAATTGGTAGGGGGAAAAATGAGATCTTTGGTTATATTAAGTTACGGTATTGATTACATCTCTCTCTTTCTTTCTAATATTTCCATTTGTCTCTTTTTTCCTCATGTAACGATAACAATTCATCGCATGTAATGTTTGATAAACTCCGTTCGCATTAAGACCTCAACATAATTATCGTATCATCTGGCACATGGCCCTGACACAAATAGCAAATATATTACAATTGTACGGTTGGGATTCATTTAGTGAAAGTCGACAATGCATTCATTATAATTATTAATCAGTATTTATGACGTATTGACGTAGAATATCCTCCCGAGAATTACCTTTCCTCCTTTTGGGTCCAAGTTAAATTATTTTTGGCTCACTGGGCTGTATTTAAATCTCTTAAGAACTTACCAAAACCCTTTCTTTGCATTGCTTTATGAATGAAACATTTTCATTTTCGAAACCATTGCGTTTAAATAATTTAATTCTTACAGGCTCCGTTGTTTTGTTCCTTTGATAACAGGATCTTAAGATATGAAATTGTTTAAAAGTTTCTAGACTGTTCTATTAAATTAGGAAGCTTCGTGGTTTAAGCTTTGAAGGTCTTAAGGCTTTCGTAAATATTAAAGTCGGAAACTTTGCTGATTTTCATATTGAATTGTTAGCTTTTGAAGTGTCCTCGGTTTGAATGTCGGCTATTCTTGTTTACACGAATCACTTAACTAATAAACATCCTAATTAACATTGAGTGGATTTAGGACAATGGATGTTTCAGTGAATTTAATAATTGGTAATTTTAGAGTCTTAAAACAAAAACTTGGTTTACTGCATATCATGTTAAATTTCTTTAGTCTAGTGGATTTTCTAACATTAACAACGCTTAGTCGATATTTGAGGATTTTTAACTGATTTCAGTTATACCGTTTCCAGAAACACCATTTTGTATTTAATCGTGCTGTTTTATTCTTACAAATTGAAACTAAAATAAAGCAACATTGTAGAATAATAAATTTGTACATTTTTATTTTTCTAGCACCAGTAAAGGTGCAAAATTTACGAGCTAGTCCACAGCTCGTATGTTTCTCTGAAATTATTAATTTAACAATCTATGTTATGTTCTGTTATTATAACAATAATAAAACTATTAATAAAAGTTTATATACTATATTGATATATTATATTATGGATTCAAAGTAGAGACTTAAATTTATATTTAACATATGTTTTTATTTTCACGCCGCTCTTAGTACGTGGGAAGAATTCACGACTAGCGTAAGTCATATTATTATGATGTCGGTGAACATTTTGATTTGAAGCTTCAAATATCTGTTTAATTCGTTCTGTTTTGTCCAAGGTTACGAATTCGAAAGACGTGCTTGTTGTTTCATTAATATTTGCATAAAAATTGGTGTCGAAGTGGAAAGTTTTACTAAGATTAGTAAATTTGTTATAGGTTACAGAACGCACGAGCCGAAAGCGGGAAGGTGGTCCGGCTGTCGCAGGATGTCCGCCGAAACTCATTGCAGCGCATTACCAATACACCAACCACGCCCAATAGGTACGCCCAATGGTCAGACCGGTCAACCTAGGGACATAGATTTGTAAGATTCATTCTCATCTAATTAGCGCATTACCAATACATCAACCACGCCCGATAAGTACGCCCAATGCACAGACCGGTTAACCTAGGGACATAGATTTTTAAGATTTTAAGATTCATTCTCATCTAATTATACAAAAAATTTAAATCATTGAATGATATCATTAAAATAAAATAAAACGAGCTATTCTTTAAATTTACGAGTAACAAATAACTTTTATCTTTACCAGAATGCAGTGGACTGTGTTATAAATTATAGAGATAAGAAAAGTGACTGAAAAACTTTAATAAAATAAAAGGAATAAACAATATCTTTGAATATTCTTATCAAATTGCCATAAAAGGAAGTGTCACTCAATATATTCAATACATATTTATGCTTTAAACCAGTTTGATTCTTCATATTCCCATGACTCTTTAGACAATTTAAGTAATATTAAAAAAACTATGGGCACATTAACTGGATGTTTTTCGTTTGGTTGGTTTTAGGATTGTGGATTACTTAGCACCGGAGTCTCCTATGAACGCTGACGAAGAACTGTTGCTTGAACTTCTGTTCAGGATGTGACCAGGAAATTACAATACCAACGTTATTTTGACCTGGGAATAAATACCCTTTATTTTAATACTTCACCACATTAGCCGTTTTCTCTTGTAGTCTACTCTTCTAGATTAGACTAGTCCTTCGATACTTTCATTTTCACTAGTTTCTTATTAAAACTTTTTTCTTAATAGGATTTAGAATCACAAAAATTCAAGCATTGCAAAGTTAACGTTTTGAGCTCTTCATCGACTGTTTTTCTGGTGATAGATACACTTCCAAAACAGGTCCTTTAATCTCGAGAGTTGTGAAATAACTCAAGCCTTGTCTATTTTTTAAATTTTGATCCTTCTTTTGGAATATCAAATGTGTAGTTAAAATTTTAAGCATCCTTAATATTTTCCATCTAGAATGGAGTTGTTTAGAAAATACCACTGTTTTAATTTTATTTTCATTTAGCCTTTCCTTAGAGATGACTTGTTCAGAGTTTTTCCCTTTTCATTTCGAACTCTTCAGGTCATAGACAGGGTTATATTTAGTATAAATTTTAATGTATTTATATTTTCAAAATGTATTTTTGAGATATTTGTTTTAGAACGTTTATTGGAATCGTATTTTGTGGGTAAACGCAAAATTTAAACTTGAAATCGATGACGAATTGGCTGTGTTATCTTGACTATGTTATCTGAATTTAATTTAATTAAACGTAAATCGAATTTTGCTTACGCCAATCGTCAATAGCATTCCAATAAGCCCATTTCAATGGTTTTATCTTTGGTTGAAGTTTTGATGTTTTGCTTTGATCTTTAGATGGTCAAGTCGTGGATATTAGATTCTATGTTTACGGTGACGGAGTTTAGGTCTATTCGTAGTTTTAAGTACAAATTCAAATTATTAAAAAAAAAAAANATTAAACGTAAATCGAATTTTGCTTACGCCAATCGTCAATAGCATTCCAATAAGCCCATTTCAATGGTTTTATCTTTGGTTGAAGTTTTGATGTTTTGCTTTGATCTTTAGATGGTCAAGTCGTGGATATTAGATTCTATGTTTACGGTGACGGAGTTTAGGTCTATTCGTAGTTTTAAGTACAAATTCAAATTATTAAAAAAAAAAAAATCTATTTCCACTGTTCTTGTAACGTAGATGCACTTAGCGTATTATACAATAAATCCGAGCTGTGAGTATTTTGAGATTTTATCGAGTTTAAGTATAAAAAAGAATAATTAATTATGTCGTTAGTTTTAAATGAAAGTGGACGAAATATTAACGTATAGTTTCAGCCTAATTAGTATTTATTTATTTTTAGATTTATCGTTGATTTGATGCTTCATTATTAAATCTTTGTATTATTATAATAGTTTTTGAGGATGCTCGTGGCCCAGCCGATTATAATGAATGTATTTCAACCCAAAGAGTCCTGGCGGGTTATCGGTAGGGCGCGTATCGTAATGTTTTCAGTGTCTCTGAAGGCAAATGTACGTAATGTGAAATGTGTTCACGAGTGATAAATAATTGGCAGCATGTTAGCAATGTTGTAATTGCTAACGGCATGAGTGAGGGTTAAGCTTAACCAATCTACTTGTTTTTTCATTTAAAATATTAACTTTAATACAAAATCTTTTGTTAACTTGTTTTGGATGAGATTCATCATTAACTAACCTCTCATTTTAATTTACACCCATCCCAGTTCCTACATTGAAACGAGATTAATCCTCGAATAACGTTTTTATCAATAAAATTAGATAGATTTCGTTTTTCCAAATCCTAAATGAATGCTAAATGCCGTAAGTAAATAGCGTTTAATGGAAAAAAATATGGTTGTGTGCCGTTTATAATATAGACAAAAAAAAAACTAACTAACTAACTAATAATTAATGTTTCCTCTTTCTGAATTCTTATATTTTAAAAGATCTTATCAAGTTAGTTGATAGGGTAAGTTAGTCAGTAGCTGTAGCTTATTATAATAAGAAGTAAAGCGGCCGTCAAAATATTTTCGATTCGTATTTTTATAAAGCAAATGTTACGAATGATTACGATTGCTTCGCTTGCACAGGCCTCGGATCTGCCTGCGATGGAAAATCACTCCTAAACTATCAGAAAACTATATTCTATAATCGAGTGTAATTGTTAACGTGTTTAGTTCAAATTTTACGGAATTAGTTTGATGTTGTTTTGATTTTAAATTCCGCATTCCCGAACGACAGGCCCAGTGTTGAAATTTGCGAGGGATTACCTCCAATTTATTCGAAGCAGATCTATGTCGGCAATCGAGTGTTGCCTCTTCGAATGGATTGTCGATTATCGTGTTGGTAAAAATTGAGATGACGTCACGTATCGAGGATCGAGAATAACCGTCCAGTTGTGGCGGATTGCACCCTCCGGTGGGGGTATAGGCGTATATCCTAGCACCGCCTCAAGCGAACGCAGCCGCTGTGCAACCAGCAAAATCGTTTCGCTTGGCGTTTGGAGCACCAGAGGGCGCACGAATACAACATGTATATTTCATATTTTTGGATCGCTAATTTTAAGATGTTATATTTATATATGTAGTGTTGGCGGATACAAAATAATAATGATAATAATGTAAAATGATTTAAAAAAAATAAAATATAAAGACAGTATTTCGAAACGTATTACGCCAAATGTTTTGATGTATTGATTTTCCGACGAAGTTTTAAGTCCGTTTTTATTTTTCTTACTTCGGACGTTGTACAGATTGTTTAGCTAGCTAGTGGTCATGCGTATATTTTAAAATAGCATGCACTTTAGCTTGTTAAGCGCAGACGGAGACGAAAAAAAAATGTAGAAAAAAGATAACAAAAAAAAAAGTAATAATATTTTTTACCGTAACGCGAAACATGTGAAAGCAATAATATTTTTATGGTGAACTCCAATATGTAAAGATATGTATTTTAATAATCCACGCGACGTCACGTACTTAGGAAGCTTGTTAGTTTCGCTGGGAATTGTGATGTTTTTATGAATAAATACATTTAATTTACTCATCTTTTTCAAAACACAAGAACCATTATGATTAAGAAATTATTTCGCAGCTTATCTGTTATTAACAAAAAAATTGAACTGGATAATAAAGTATTGTATAATATTAAGTGCAATACGGTTTTGTTTTTATTTACCTTGATCACGTCTTGTGTTGTGATTAGTAAAAAACACGCCATTTTTGTTATATAGTAATTTTATGTGTTCTCGTCTCTTAATTATGTATTCTATTGAGTCTGTTCTATGTAAAACGTTAAAATAATATTAGATTTGTTATTTATCACTTTTTGATTTGAAAATTTTATATAATTATGTATTGAAATTCATTGAAGCTGAAATGACAGGAGGTTTTAGCGGAAATGCGAGGAGTCAGTCGTGTGAATTAATAGTTTGTTATTAGTCTTTCTTCAGGTACGTACTGGGACATTATTTCATTCGATCACATCTCTTCTTGTTTCATTGTAGGTCATTTAATTCTAAATTCCATACATCTTTTCTTGTTTCATTCTAGTTCATTTAATTCCAAGTTCCATCCCAACGGATTACTATTTTAAATTATTTTATTATTTTATTCCACTCCATTACTCATATAACAGAGTATGTATAGATAATTCCCAATGGATTACTATTTCAAATAATTTTATTTTATTCCACTCCATTACTCATATAACAGAGTATGTATAGATAATTAAAAATTGAAGATTTTATAACTTTACTTTGGCAACGATGGGTTGGATAGACGATAATTTCCATAATAAAAAAAGAACGATCTTTTAAAGACAGAAGCATAACTATCCATAAGCAATATTGAGATGGATATAATTGAAGGTCGTTTCTTACTTTCTTAACTTTTCTTTTTCTTTTACTTTTCTTACTTTCTTTTCTTACTATATCGACTGTAGGCATCGTAAACAATTTCTTCCGCATCGTTTATAGGTGTGAAAGAACCTCCGTTAAGAATTTTTTTTTATTAAATTTGAATGCGATTGTATTTAATCCGTGGTTTATCTAAATTTTAAAATTATAATGTAAAAAAAATCTCATGAAAACATCACAGATCCAGTGTGGCTTAGTAACTGACCACAGCTGAAATATAATGCACTAGAAGTAGGTATTAGTTAGATAAAGATTACTAATTATATATTTAAACGAAAATAAAAAGTTCTTGAAAAAATCGATACATAGAATTTAAAAATTAAAAAAAGTTTGACTAATGTACTTTTTATTGTTAAAAATATAAGGCTTGTTCACACGTTTTAACTTTCATTAATCGATAAGTATTTCTTAATGCTAAGAAGTTATTGGATTGGTAAATAAAAGACGTTGAAGCGAAGCTATCTTGTTCGATCACATCCGTTCGATGATCTCTGGTAGAGTATAGCTGAGCATTTACCACAATAATGCTCAATACTGGCTGTAGATTAATTCTGAAGAATGAATCCAGCTGGTCATGCCTTTCGCTTTGAAGGGCACGAAAACTGCTGTTCCAATTTGAGAGAAATTTTAACCTGTCTTAAATTTTTCGACCGTATTCTATGGGTTCCAGTAACTTTACGGCTGTGATCTTCTCTGTTCAGGACCCTCCATTTGTCTTTACTGTACGTTTTTTTGTATACAAAATATATCGTTGCTTCATTTAGATAATTATTTGGATAGATAATTCTAATAGAATTTACTTGGTTCTTTGCTTAGTGATCGAACAAGCAACGCTTGAATTTAGTGAGAATTTTTAACTTTATTTAAATTTGCGTGGGGAGGTGTTTGTGAGCTGATTAATGATAATATGCCAAAGGCGTTTTCTTTTTCGAAGCGTGATAAAATGATTTTGTTATTTAGTGCGTCGTATTGTTTTTTAAGGACGGTTGTGGCTTGGCTTGATTTTCAACAGCTGATTTCATGTTTACCCATTTCTTACATTAGTCAATCAAAAGTTCCTGGTTAATAATAGTTAATTAAAACTGTTACTGGTGGTAGGACCTCTTGTGAGTTCGCACGGGTAGGTACCACCACACCGCCCATTTCGTCGTTGTAACTATACTAAGACTTTAGAACTTACATCTCAAGGTGGGTGGCGCAATTTACGTTGTAGATGTCTATAGGCTTCAGTAACCACTTAGCACCAGGTGGGCTGTGAGCTCGACTAGCCATCTAAGCAATAAAAATAAAAAACATAAAATTAAAATGCTTTGAGGTTTTATTTTTTCTTCTAATTTCACTGTAATGATAAACTATTTTTGTGGTAGCGATGATAAGCTGTAAGCACCATGACATTTATCCATCGTGCGTATGATTGGTGCCAATGAGCCATTTATTTCTATGAAATTTTAAAACAGATCTGTTCTGTCGGCTGTCGTCTAAGAAATAGCGAATTGATATTGTGGACAAGATATACTCCAATTCATATATTGCTTTGATTTTGAATCGATTGAAAATAGATAAAAGCTCCGGTAAACATGAAATCGGCTGGATGAATACAAATTATTGATTTTATTTGATAATTGAGATTAGCCTGCCTAAACTGTATTGCATATCATATAGTATAAATTAACGTGTTTGTTTTTAAAGAAATCGCGAATCAAATTAATTGATTTACTATTAAAAACGAATATATAAACCTATTTTATTGAATCGAAGATAATCGAAAAGAATCACTGTTAGCACCGTGGCGTATCACGGAAGTATCAGGAAACCGAACTTAAAGCTTGATGTCAAGTGTTTACGGTTCAGAATCGGTTATCAATGTTGTGATGTTTAGAGGAAAAGCGTGGAGATTGTATAGATAAAGAGGGGGAGGGGGGATTGTAAATAAATGAATAGGAAGGTTACGAGAAAGTTCTTTTCTTAAAATAGGTTTATTCCAGTTTCAAATAGAAAATTAGAACGTAATATTCTTTTCTTA